GGAACAATCATGGTTGGCTCTCCACATTGAAGACCAATAGCTGTAGTTCCAGCACCGCCATGATGCACCACGGCCTTAACTCTTGGAAAGAGCCAATCGTGCGGTGTATTTTCGAGCATAAACACATTATCAGGTATATTCTCACCACCAAGGCCACCCCATCCTTTTGATACCAACGCCCTTACTCCAGCTTTCTTTACGGCCTCAAAAATCATTTCCGTAAATTTATCAGGATCATCGACAACGATAGAACCAAAACCAATATAGACTGGTGGCTCTCCATCTTCAAGAAATTTGGTAAGATCATCCGATGGTGTGAATGTATTTGCGAGATCAAGAAAAACGAAACCAGCGATATCAATTTCTGGTCCCCAATCTTTCGGTTTAGGAACAAGTCCAGGTGACCAGAGGTACGTATATGGAACTTTGAGCCGATAAAGTTGGCCTGGGGCCCATAATGTTGATACCGGTTCCAGACCTAAAGTCTTTACTCTGAAATTGTTGACTAGATCGCCAAGTCCTTGCCAAGTCATCATTTCCACCAACGGGTATGACATAAAGTTCGTATATCCTGGATCCACATTTGTTTTCTTGATATTGGCCAAAGGATGTGGAAATGCTTGCGTTGGAGTATATGGGAATGTGAACATGAGATGAAGAGGTACACCAAGTCGTTCGGCGCAATGAACGTGTGCAAAACTTGGAGGGTTCGCAATAATAGCGTCTGCGACAAATGGTGCTCTAACTCCCATCATCTTAAGATTTTTAACGTCTTTCTCTTCGTCCGTAGCATTGATGCAAGCTCTCCAGAAGCCTTCAAACATCTCTGCCATCTGTTCCCTTCGTCTCCCCACTTCTCCTTTCTTAAGAGTATCCATCGTCGGTATCATTCCTGGATTCTTAACCATAAACGCCATAAGTTCCGCAGGATCTCCACCAACAGAGAAAAACTCCAAACCAGAATCTTTCTGAACAAAATCTCGAAACGCGGGATGTGTTGCTATTCTCACCCTATGACCATACTCCTTCAAACATTTTCCCAATTTCAAAAATGGTTGTATATCGCCACGACTTCCAATAACCATCACAACAATATTCAGCTTAGGTCTGGGCAAATCTGAAGTGATTGTGTCCTCCGATGAAATTCTCTCGAGTTTACCTCTTTGACGCCTTACAAGATTCGCCTCTGGTGACTCGCCGGTCATATTATCATTCCCGATTTTATTGAAGAAGGTGGCGCCTAATGCTTTAGCAAGGTATCCTCTATTACTGGTCTCATTGACACTGATATTTAATCTCCCATCTCTCTTCGAGACCCTCCCTTTGGTGTTGAAATCTTCATTTCCAACTTGAAATTTATTGTATTGTTTCCTGCCACCAGTATCTGTATTTTTCCTCCCTGGCATTTGTGTCCTTTTCTTCTTTTCTGCTGGGATATCTTCCTCGTCCTCACTGCTGCTACTACTTGTAGAATCATCGTCCTTAGAAACGGGTGCTTTACTCCAAATTGCTTCATTCAACATTGATGTATTCGTTTCACCTCTCCTGTAAGCTGGCGCCAGTAGAGAGGATTTCCTCGCTGCTTGAGGTCTTTCGGTCTGCCATACTTTCGTAGGAGTAAGGTTGGGCCGTTCTGTTTCCTGCTGTACATTATTCGGTATATTCGCGGTAGGGATGTCTGATTTCGTGGTGGATATTGGTCTCGACTGTGACGGGGTGTGTGCAGCCCCATTGGCCATCGCAGGTCCGCTGTTAGCAGTCATATCTGTTGCTGCTTCTGACATTATATATTAAGTATTAGAGACACAAAAGAAGTTTGTGAGAATAGTAAAAAAAGAACTCTTCAAGAGATTCCAACTGGCATCAACAAAATAGAAGTATGTTGATCGCGCGAAATAAAAGGTGAAAATATGAAGTAGTGAATAATAATCAAGCAAAGGGATGAGATCCAGATGTGTTATCAGGTGTACAAACCCGTAGTACCCGATCGCACACCAGTCAACAAATGAAACGCCTTCGTTCTTCCGGTACGGTATCAAAACACAGCCAAATGGTCCAGTAGAATTACTCAAATCATTTCCAAAATACTTCAAAAAAGAACTGGAGAAAAAGGTCCGGGAGGTTGAACCTGAATCTTGATGGATGGCTTAAGGCTTAAGCCTTGGACACTTGCCATATCGTGGCTTAGCATAACCCAAAGAGGTTAAATCTAGACACATAAATTCCAAAAGAAGAATCATCAGATCAAGAGGCGTTGTGTGCCCAGTCAAAATCATATCGGAAAGAGAAGTGAAATGAGATAAAAGTATCATGTCGTCATAATTCCATTAACCCTCTACAAATTAGATCCGTGCTAAGCGGTTTGGGAAATCAGCCACAACCTTGATTTAACTCCCTGCTACCCTGTACTTGGTCTGTTCGTAGTCCGTACCTGACCGGCACTTTTTAACATCAGATGATCTGTGTTCTCATCTTCAACAACGTCATATAGTTCATGATTTTATTTATTATACATATATCGTGAGTAGTGAGGACAAAAAGATAAAAATCTAGAACACTTTGGAACGTTCTACAACATCTAGCAATTATGTATGGAGCGTGCAGAACATCCATTTCAATTCCAGCCACAGCACACAAAATATCCATCTGAAGTCTGAGACTGACGACCTCGATTTACACCAAAAAGACCAATCAGAAGAATAGATCTGATGAATTGATTAAATGATTTGATCACCTAGTATTTGCAATCAAAACCAAGTCAAACTCTCCATCTGTATCTGCATCTGTATCCATATCTGCATCTATATCTGCACCACACGCTTCAGCATCCGCCCTTACTAGTATCGGCAATGTAACGAAGAAACAAATCTCATCCTTCTATGGATGAGATTCTCTCTCTGGGTAGGTATTTACCTAAATATTAATCGATCGAAGATTATTGTTAGGGGTTTGAGTTTAGTAGACATAATATAATATGGGAATGGACTATTCAAGATATGCCATGCGAAGTTATAAGATGTTAATCTAATAAATCTATTAAAGCATTAAGATTCTAACAATTGACATAATTCACCCTCGTACGTTAATCACAGTATCGATATTACTTCCATGACAATATTCATTAAAAAGTCCTTCCGAAAACTCCCTAAGTCATACATCCTATTCATACATCCCTTCAGCAGCGCCCTATTCCTCGTCCTCCAATCTCCCATCAGTGCTTCGCGTCTGCCACGTTCTCATCTCAGCATTACGAGCTCGAACACCATCAATCCAGCTTTGTTCATCATCACCATTTTCCCTACCACCATAAAGACCTTGAAACCCATCATCAGACATTCCTGCTGGCGAACCAGATCTCTGTCTTATCCAGCGAGCATCGGATTCATGCATCCATCGCTGAGCAGAATCTCGATCGAAAGGATCACTCGGTCGACCTAGAGTACCAACTACATGTTCCGGAATTTGACTTCTCAATCGAGCCATAGATCGAGTTGTGGGCGCAGTATAGGATGGATGGTATCGGGACTGATGCCGAGCTTCGGGTAAATGGGCAGGAGTTTGAGGTTGAGATGCTGCGGGAAGGGAATCGTTGTATACTGAGTATTCTCGAGGTGGAGTATATGTTCGTGGACCTGTATCACTACCTCTTCTGGGAGATGGCTGGGGTCTTGTACGACGACGAGGTGATGGAGATGGTGAAGGGGGAGGAGAGTTATGTAAAGATGATCTTGATATGGGACTCGAGAATAGGCGTGCAGCAGCTCTGATGATAGGATTTAATCGTCGACGCCCACCTGACTAGTGCACAAGGAGGTTTAGAAGAAGCAGACGTGTAAATATAAAGTGGACTTACAGGTGGACTTGATGCTTGTCTCTCGTCATGCTCTCGAATCAGTTGACTAATGATGGAGCTTGAGATAGAGATATCTCTTGAGGGGCTCACTGAAGGACTCCCTTGAAAGCTTCTTACGATGCTTGCAGGTGAAGGCCCGCTTTGATTTCCACCTGGCGAAAAACTTGGAAGTGATTCTGCCCTCGAGACTGACCTAGAAACGGTTGAAAATGGCGGTGGCAGACGCAATTCTTGGGAAGCATTAAAAGAAGATGTTGTGGATACTACAGATTGCTCTGAGATCAAAACAAGACTATGGGGGTCAATGTCTTCGACGCGAATAGGTCGATCAGAATTCGGTTCGTCTTCAGTTCCCTTTGATTGCGCTGATACTTCCCGGTCAGAAGAAGGATGCTCTTGACTGCGAATAGAACTTGCAAACGATGGTATTCGAGAACTCTGCAGAGAACTTCCACGCAATTCTTGACGAAGATTAAGGCTTTCCGATGGCCGCGGTCGGCTATCGGTTGTTGATGAAGATAATGCCCTTTCTTGTTCGTAAGCAACGCTAGATCTTTCCGAGTCGTCAAATGAAAAGCTGTTAGCTTGGTGTCTCAATGTCCGAGGCTGACTTGTTGAATGGGGATGGGGGCTGGGTCCAGGGCGTCGAGCTGGCTGGGCAAACATAAAACCTGGAGTGTTATGAGTAGATATACGAGAGACAACCCTGGGAGTTAAACTGGTTGTGGACTACAACATCCGGGAGTTAGCCATTGCCTCTAAAGAGCCTTTGCAACACTCTAGACGGATTTGAAAAACGAAGGTGTACTTACACGTCGCTCTGGTGAGCTCGATGCATTTTGTGCAAGGAACAAAGGTGAGCGTGGTAATCTTGTACGAGCTTGTAACCTCTGTGCTACCGGCGGTTGGAGATGGGGAGTGGTTGAGGAATCTTCTGGTTCTAAAGGGTATTAGTTATTTTGCTATATCTTGATCATTTCATGTCTTGAGTAGCCACAAATGTGCAAAGCACTTAATGTGTGGTACCACTATCATATGGAGTAAAGTCTTACCGAAAGGTGAAGATCCTCGACTTTGGTCACTTTCATGCTGACTAGGACTTTCGACAAATCCACCGTAGTCAAAGTTGTCTTTCGAAGGCGAAGAGAGCCGTCTAGTACCCAAATTCTCAAAGGATTCTTCGCCCACTTCAAGCTCTGCCGAGTCCTGGCTACTTTGAGCCTCCTGCATCTCATCCATTATCTTTCCTCGCCTCGCGTCTAACCATTCTTCAAATGTTTCCCTATTTGTGGCATTGTGTAAACTATCGGACGCTATCAATACCGAGGAGTGATCTACAGGATGGTTGTTTGTGATTGTGCCATCAGAAGAGCGAGGGGATGGGTTTGTCCAGTCGAAAATATCAGAACCTTGAGCATGAGCAGGAATTTGTAAAACACATTCCAATGGCAGAGGGGATTCAAGTCTAGGAAATTTATAACCCTCATCTGGTTTCTGATTAGTTTGATTCGCGAGATGACTTCCATCGGTGCTCGGTATAGCACTAGCAGATGGGCCATGGACTCTGGTTCTTGGGCTGATGGATCTTATCGGTAAAATGATCTGTGAGTGAGGCGTGGTTTGTGGAATATCCACAGGCTTCAGCTTCGCTTGACGTTTTGCGCGTCTATCATAATCCTTAATATCGCCCAAACCAATGGTTATGAGGGAAGGGGTCAGTCGAATCATGACTGTACTGGTGACTGGAGATCAAAATTAAGGATGGAACAAGATCACAAAGGATATACCATGCAATCTTGAAGAAAAAGCATTTATTCACATTGGATGAAGATCTTTAGGCACTTCACTGGAAGAGGAAAGAACATTGATATAACCAGTCTGCGAAAGTTAACAGAATGGGTCATATTTGGACCTCTTGATCCACTTTTCGTCGCATTGGGAAAGAACGAACAAGAATAAAGTCGGCCATTTGGAAGGACATGATTACACCCTGAATCTACTGAGACCTTGGGATAGCAATGAAAGTATAACTAGTAATTGAGCATGGATGACAAGATGGTCAGCAATGTTGAGATATCTTATAGGTCGTCGTTACCGATTGGCGTCGCGGACTCTGATATCAGATCACCAGGAAACAGCCACTCTGGCTTCAAGTAAGAGGCCAGCTCGAAAAGGTATTTTTCTATGAGCGGAAATAATCTCATGCACAAGTCAAATAAATCCTAGAATGGTTGGTGAAAGGGTTATGTTATCAAACCTAAATATGTTTCCGAATTGAACATGCAACCAAGCTTTGATTGAGACAGCGTGAGATTTTTAGTTAGCATAATGCGTAACCTACGCTACGACAGCAATGAGAAAGATGAAATGAAGACACGACGTAGGTAATTAAGGAGAACAAAATGGTGGTGGTACATCTCATTTGTGAAGCCAAATGCAAGTCATGAAGATGAAATGATGAAATGATGAAATTGGTCGAGTGTGGCATTTGAGCAAGTCCGTTGTTACCGTTGTATCGTCCGTATCGCATCGTATCGTACCGCCCAAATCTTAGTAATAATATTACAAGTCGTACAAGGTCGTACCTGAATTTTCAACCTTGGGTGGTGGTGGGTGGCTTTAGAGCGGCGTTCAATGCAGAGGTAGGTAGGTACATACTCCGTTCCGTTACAGGAACATTTGCAGAACAATCAGGTCTTCCTTCCACGCGAGAGACATCTTTTGATTAGATGATCTATCTGAAAGGGAGGTGTGTGTATATCATCATTGTGCTGCCGTTAGATAGATTTCGGATGACTAATCAATTTGTTTGCCAAAATATCGCTAATACATGATCAGCGATGTGATGTATTCACACCCACACTTCAATTTGCCTTGTTGATGAATTCTCTTGTTCAGATAATGGATAACGGATATCGTAATGGATCCTGCATAGGTAATGCATACGAGATGTACCGAATCTATGCAAATGGGAACAATTGACACCCCTATACATAATTGTTTAGGTATTTTACGCAGACCCGGTAGCCAAATATAGCTTTTCCCCGACTATTTATTCCTCAGCCTCTTTGTTAGTCCATCAGTCTACTGCATACATAGGTAGCTAAGCTAGAGGTAGGTATCTATACGGAGTACGGGAGTGGACATGGATGATACATACTTTCTCTTCAACAACTTTATTCCTCTCTGTACCATACCAGAACTCAAATCTAGAAAACTCGAAAACTTAGTTATTATTATTATTATTATTAAATGGTCGACCAGTACAAACACCTTTCTCTACCTCTCACTCACTCACTCACTACAGCAGCGGTAGTCATCTTGAATGGATGGAACACTAGAAGATCTTGTTAGGAGTTCATTTCGTTTATAATTAATTAGTGTTCTCTTTTACACTCGACTACTTGAATGAATCCCTAGTAGTGAACATTGATTTAACACAACCAATCAATCTTTCCAGTCTTCCGAATCTAAGCCGTCTGAAAGGTCATTTTAAAAGAGAAGAGGACATTATTCTGACTGTTTTCATCGTAATTGTCTATCTTTGGATCCCCCCAGCAAAAGGACACTGAGAAATTTAAATCAACGCCTACCTAGTACCTACCTACCTACCTACCTCCCTCCCCGGACCAGGTACACACACCAAAGCCACAACAGCGTACGCAGATCAAAGTATCATTCAGTGACTTGTCCTACGTATACATATCGATTCAATTCCAGATCCCAAAAAAGATAGGGTCACCAAGACTCACTCACATTCAAATCCTCGTTATTTGTTCCTCTACTTGGGTGGAAATTTTAAATTATTATTATTCTTCTTATTATTATTTTAATTTCCCTCACTCACTCGCTCACTCACTCACTACTCACTTCCTTCCTTCCTTTCTTCACCTTTCCAATTCTATCACCTGCTACAATAGCCAGGACCGACCTTCGTAACATTAGCAGCATTGGGATGATATAGGCTAGGACCAATTTCGCTGCTTGACGGCCACTTTACCACACGACTGTACTGGTAGAACTCGCAACCAAAGAAAGAGGGCCAACATGGAGAACGATTTATCCCTATCTCAATCCTTCGGTGGCTTACGGATAGCTAATCCTGATGATGCATCATCCGGCACATCAACGCTTGAAGCTTCGAATGATCGCAATGACGAACACACAAATGACGAACCTTCATTCGTCCCAGCCCAAGCCGCAGATTTGACTCCTTCGGAAACTAGAGACGCGCGGAAAACCCCAGATTCCCAAACGCAATCAAAACGACATTCCTTATTTAATATCCTCCGACGCGGCTCACCCAGCGACCCGTCTTCAAACTCTACGCCATCCCCAGAACTTCCACAAACTTCAGATTCGAAACGCCCAAACTCACGTTCAGCCTCAAGCAGTGGTGAATCTATAAAGGTACAGGCGCAGCAAGAGCCTTTGCCGAGGCCTGTAGGAGCAAAGGCATATCGACAATCAATGCCCATGAATCACCAGTCTCAACAACAACAAGCATTTCCCCCGTATCAACCACATCCCATGCAGAACGGATCTCGAGCATACCCACCTCCGGGGGCCGGCCGGCCAATGTCAGGTGTCTACGCAGCGCAACCCCCTCCAAACGCAATGCCGAATAGAGATCACGGATCATATAGAGTGAGGAGCGAATCTTCGAATGCTTCAATACATGGTGGAGTACCGTCAAGGAGTGATTCAAGGTCGGCAGCCACAGCAATGCAGGCAGGCGTGCTGTCCAGAGAAGGAAGTCATAGAGATCGATCGTACAACAAAAATCTTAACATGCCACCAGGTAACGGCCCCGTGCCACCAAGGAGAGGTTCGAGGGGAGTGGGTGGAGGCTACGATAATCCGGCACATCCCAAGTCTGCTGCTGGCACCCATTACGACACCGAAGGAAACGTGGTCACCGCTGAAGAGTGGAAAGTAAGAGGGGCCGCAGTAGGCGTTCGTGAGGAGATTGATGCGGACGGGAAGGTGCACCTGAAGCAGGTGAGGAAGGGGGTGCAAGATTTTATTTTTGGGCGTACATTAGGAGAGGGCTCATACAGCACCGTATTATTTGCAACGGACCGCCAGACACTAATAGATCATGCCGTCAAGATCCTGGACAAGAAGCATATAATCAAGGAGAAAAAAATTAAATATGTAAATATAGAGAAAGATACTCTAAACCGATTATCGGATCATCCAGGTAAGAAAGAACCCCCTCCGGCAAACCTCAATGACTGCGTTCAAGTATCATTCTCTTATTTCCTGTATGTCCCATCGGAGCCCGTGATTGTTCTAATAAATTACATAGGTATCATTCGATTATTCTTTACGTTCCAGGATAGCGCGTGTTTATATTACGTCCTCGAGTATGCCAGCGGCGGAGAACTGTTAGGAGTATTGAAAAAGACCGGGTCGTTTGATGTGGAGTGCACGAGGTTCTACGGCGCTCAACTTCTCGAGGCAATCGATGCTATGCACCAGAAGGGAGTGATACACCGAGATCTGAAGCCGGAAAATGTCTTATTGGATGATAAAATGCACATCAAGATCACAGATTTTGGAACTGCTAAACTACTCCCGGCTCCTGGATTGACTCCTAAACCATACGACATAACTAGCAATGGAGAAGAAGAATCGACAAGAGCGAGTTCGTTTGTTGGGACGGCCGAGTACGTCAGCCCGGAGTTATTGACGGACAAAAACGCTTGCAAAGCAAGTGATTTATGGGCTTACGGGTGTATCATTTACCAACTCTTGGCTGGACGACCTCCTTTCAAAGCCGCTAATGAATACCTAACCTTTCAGAAGATCGTCAGTTTGGAGTACGAGTTTCCCCCAGGATTTCCCCCTGCCGCCAGAGACCTCGTCGAAAGGCTCCTCGTTCTTGACCCACAAAGGAGATTATCGATCGAGCACATCAAAAATCACGAATTCTTCGACGGAATGAGATTTAGTCGGGATTTGTGGAAGGTGAAAGCTCCCAGGTTAAAGCCTTATGTTCCACCTGCACAAGAACCTCATTTGATCATGCTCAATAATCTTTCAACCACACCTCCAACATCACGCGCAACGGCACAACTAACTCCGTCCAATGGTAACTCGAGGCCACAGCCTAGGATAATCACCGAACTTCCTCCACCAACTCAGCTCGACATTGAATGGTCGCCCGTGTTGACACGAAATAACGAGCGTATTTTGAAATTGGGGAATTTAATGGTCTTATCCTCGCCATTGCCCCATAGTCCTAGCTCGAAGAATGGCGAAGATGTCCCTGAAAAGAAGGGAGGATTTGCAAGATTCTTTGGAGGTTCGACAACCAAGAAAAGAGCAAGGCTTGTGATGGTCACGTCTAGCGCAAGAATCATTCTAGCTGCTGCTGGTGGCGATGAAAAGAAGACAAAAATGGAGATATCCTTGTTAGCCTCCGATTGCTCATGGCGGACGCAATCAGATTCCAAGGGGCAATCTGTGTGGTGTGTGGACACAGTAAGTTAGTCCACGTCCAATAACTCATTCAATACTGATCACAACTAGCGTGGAACACATTATACCTTCGAAGACACCAAAACTTCGGTAACCTCCAATGATCCTGCGAAAACATCGGCACAAGAATGGATCGAAGCTATTGAAAAAGCCAAAGATATGGCTCTATCGCAAAATATGGTTGGCTCTTACAACAGCGATACTGGTTTCGATATGTCATCCGCCGCCACAAGTCCTACCAGTACTATCCATGGAACAAGCATCTATCAAGACAACTTTGGCCCCAGTGACCGATCAGGTCGGCATCATCTAACCAAGAGTCAGGCCAGTTTAGGAGGGGAAGACGCTTTTGGAGACTCTAGAAAGAAGTCCCACCGCTTCAGTAAAAGACAGTCAAAGAACGGACTTTCAACGCCCTTTTAATGGTTATCCGTGCGGCTACAGAACAAGATTGATCGATTCTTCAAGTCATTCAGACTTGGCAAGCATTTACGCCCGCAAAAGCAGACTGCTGCTGCACGGCAATTCTAGAAGAACATAAGCCCATAAATCATACCCATTTCTCACACATCAAATGATGTATTTTCAATCATTTTTCATTTATCGATCGGCATTTGCTAGCGTGGCGCAAGGTCTCTGGATTTTTTATTTGATTGGTGCATCTGAAATGCAGCATTTCATAGCCTTCCTTCCTTGGGTCATTGGGGTAGAGGAGAATTTTAACGACTTGACATGACTTTTTTGTTACTTTTATTTTTCGTTGTAGCCAAATTACCCAGCTGCTTACATTTCTCCCGCAAAATCTTCCTCCAAATTCGTCATACATCACTCGTTTCTTCTCCAAGATTTCGTCGAGATGGAGTAACATCATCGACGTTTATATACTTGTATTTGTGAAGCAAGCAGAGATAAAGCTGACCCGAGAGATCAAGTATGACAAGAATCTCTTTTATTGGCTCATATATCTTGGGAGGGGCTTGCTTGCTCGCTAACGATTAGCCTATCGCAAATTTTTTTGACATGACGAATATTTGGACTTGACTTTTTGCTTCTAATTTTTCCCTTTGTTTTTGGTGGCAGCAATTCTATTTACGGTTCAGGGCGGATGGAGATGGGACGGGGGAAGATCTTTTCAATAATTATATTAGCTACTTAGCTTCCTTACACTTACTATGGATATGGATAGGTAGTGTTGTTTTAGTTCTTGGGAATCATTCGGAATGCGGGATTTGGATGGCGTGTTTTCTAAAATCTTTTCCCTGGCCTTGGGAAATGAAACAGAGAAGATGTGCGGGGAGTAGGGTGGGGGTATGGTGATCATAGAGAGGGTTGGGTGGAGGATGTTGAATGGAAAAGCCAAGATATTATGGCAGGGCAGGGTGAATTTGAATGGTTTGGGAAGGCGAGATATACAATTGCAGATGCAGATGCAGATATAAGTGAAGACTCGGGAGAAAAGATAAGAGAGGGTTGGAAAATAAGAGAAGAGAAGAGAAGATATTATCAAGGCAATTGACTGTACATTAGAGATTTCTACTTCATCTACCGGGCTTTTTTTCGGCAGGAAGTGCGATAAATAAAGAAAGAAGAAAGAAGAAAGAAGGGGGAGAATCAATGAAATTCGGTGTTGGTGTTGGTATTAGTTACTTGTGCGGTGGTTAGGGTGGATGGGGATGCATGCATGTACAGAGAGGGCATTGGGGGCAGTAAATGCTAGGAGTAAGAATAAGAATAAGAATAAGAAGAGGAATCGGATAGATAAATAAGATAAGATGGTTGAATATATAATAGTACATAGTAGTAGTCGTGATCTGGTCTGGTCCAGTCTGGGACTTACTCGGATTGATTCATTGATTGATTGATGTAGAATATTTATATTGGGTTGTTTTGTGCTAGTGCTTGTGTTTATTTCGGTGTTTGGAGTGATTCTTCTTTTGATGAAAAGAGGTTAATTAGGCTTGAGTTGAATATTAAGGTTTAGATTATCCGGTAGATTTGATAGAGGAATAGGTAGATAAATGATATATATAAATAGATAGTATATAAATAGATAGAAATAAGATATAAATAAGATAAGATATAAATAAAATATAAATAAAATATAAATAAAATATAAATAAAATATAAATAAAATATAAATAAAATATAAATAAAATATAAATAAAATATAAATAAAATATAAATAAAATATAAATAATAATATTAAAAAACTGAAATTTAAAATTAGAGAATAGAAATTAAAAAATGAGGTATTTTAAAAGTTGAGGTTCGGATAAGTGATCAAGATTCATTCAATTATAAAAAGTAAAATCATGTTAAAGTGAATGGTTCCTGCGTAGCACGTGCACAGGGCACTAGTCCTGTTAGGACTAGATTGAGAAGCTCTCTTACAGAGAGCTTCGCACTTCCGTAGAACTTAGAAGAGAGATTTACCTACTAGACCAATATTACCTCAGTTCTGCCCTATCAGCTTCCCACTATTCCCTGTGTGAGGTCATTCCTTTTAACAAATCAGACTTTTCTTATTAATTCTTAATCTACTTCTATACCTCCCCCCATCTCTTCTTTTCCAATCATAGAAGGCTGTATGAAGCTATCCAGCGCTCGGTGCAGCTATATCGAAACATTGAAACATTAAAACAAATAAATTCAAAAAAACTTTTGAGTAATAGGAGAAGATTTCAAAATATTTCGTCTATATTTCCACTTATATCGCACTCCCTATCACGTCCATCAGACTTGCTACCATAACCCCTATTGACCGGTTCGATGATCAGTTCTGCGACTATGCTGACTACTAGCACTGCCACGCCTATTGTTGCTAGTATCTTCATGCTGATATTGGCTGCTTGTTGCTAAGGGGTATGATGGACTCCATTCTTGTGTATCGGGCTGGTGAAAAGTGTTGTATGGGGCAGGTATGGTAGAGGAATCACCAGTGTGGGAAGGAATGCTGGTACACATGTCAAACCATCCCTGGGGATTGTACAGCTGATCTGGTTGGCCAGTATAGGCTATTGTTCCTGCCAATGGTGAAGGAGAGTTAATCCAATTAGCACCGGGTGCGGGCTGTTGGTATTGTTGTTCTTCGGCATACTCAAGGAAGTTCGGAGTAGCGTTGGCCTCGCCTGGTTGGGGTTGAGACTGGGCGTTTAAAAGGTACCGATTCATGGAAGTGTCGGTTTGAAATTCGACATTTGGATATTGGAGCTGTGGATGAATTTGTTGTGCTACAAACCACGGAACATCTTCTGGCTGACAGGCAAGATCTCCATCTACCAAATACTCTCCTCTCTCGTATCTGCAGGTCCTGTTCCAGAAGTCTCTTCTATAGTCTGCGCTTTCATATATGTGCACCCTTTTCCATTCTTGCACGTCGGGATCCATCAATTCATTGCAACTTCCACAATGTTCCCTATCATACAATGACCTAAGAAGTGTACCTACAGGCTCGCGTCCAGGTAGAAACCCGGAGTCCAACAGGTGTAATTCCACGGTTTCGGCATTATGAACCGCATTCATGTCCCAATGGGCGGCGGGGTCGCTCACAGGGCTGTCAATGTCATGATCTGACATAACTTCTAGTTTGTAAAAATACAAAGGCGTAATGTAGTAATTTTTTCTTTGATTCTTCGAAGATTTGGATGAAATTAATCGACGGTGACGTTTTTAGACTCGATATGTGTTTCTATGAGATTTTCGAAGGCTTTGATGCCAGAATGTACTGTTTGATCTTGTGTATTGGGATGCTTCGATGTGGATGTAATGAATATCTTCTGAATGTAGGTGTGTAGGCTTGGTAGATGTAGATGTGTAAGTGTATGGATGTGTGGAGAGCTGAATGAAGGTAAATGTACAGACCTCAGTTCCAGAAGGAGAAATTGCTGTCCTTTTATACATATCTGGAAGCTAGAAATTGGTGCTCAAAGTGACTGGGAAAGCCCGCCAGATAATATATTATGAATAGTAGATGTGGTAAATACATATTATACAAGTGGGTTTCGCCATACATGATTGCAAGGATGAGCCGGAAAAGAGAGAAATAGGTATTCACGGGTAAAAAATGTAGTAAATGTGATCATTCACAGGCTTGGGGCATATGCATAATTGCCAAAATGAATCATGAATAGTTGAAGTTCATATTCATGATGCGAAAATGTGGACATATGAGTATTACTCTTATGAGTTCTTTAAAAATAACCGTGGAATGACTCGAAAATGACTGAAAATTGACTACTCGGTTGTGATAACATTCACTTGATGAGAGAAAACTACATGGGAAATGACCGTTATATCAATGCTTTTATAGTCAAATATGTGTGACTGTGAGATGTAATAGGAATATACACATGACGTTTGAGCAAAATGCAAATTTGACTTTTAATTACACTTTCAAGATTAGAGTAACTATACTTGCTAATCTTCCATGGATCATCTCGACATACTCTAGAGCTTGTAGCGTACGCGGGAAATCCCAATATTTCCTTGTGTTCATTCATTAATGACCCTGAATAATAGACTCCGCTCCCCTCTCCGCAGCCGCATGAATCGAACTCCGCAAATTTCCTCTCACTAAAAGTGGAAAATAACTCACATCGATCATTCTCAATATTTCCATGCCACATCACTTTAAATTTCTCATCAACAACTCCGGATGTTAGGAAGAGTTAGCATAGAACAAGTACCGATGAGGTGATATTCGAATTTTAATGAAGTCCAACATTGGGGTTACTGGGAGGGTAATAGTTTGATTGGTAGATGGTATCGTTTCCTTGTGCGTATGACGGAGGCGAAGGATTGGAGATGTGTCGTTATGATGGTGACAATGATCAGATCAAAGGGTGAGAGAGGTAACTCAAATCCAGCTTGGGCAGATGCACGTAGAAGGACAGGAGATGCGGGTGAAATCACGGGAAAATGGGTGTTCGAGGACGCCGAGGAGGCTGAGGAAGCTGGCAGGTCTGACGGGGAAGAAAGGTTAGGAAAAGTCATTGAATCCCAAAAAAACATTCCGTCGCTTACGCCGAGTCTGTGGTGTGTCAGTTTGTGTATATCTCTATGGGTAGGTCTTTTGAATAGAGGGCGACTGTGGGCGGGGATGTGTGGTATGAAAAGTTGAAATGTTTAAATGGGAGATCACTCGAATCATTCGCTGGCCGAGAAAATATTTGTCACAAATTTTCCATTGCTCTATGCTTGGTCTCGGTGTAGATCTCTACAGCTCCTTTGCAAAGCTCACTCGCTCTTGCTTCACTGCCTCACTTGAAGATAATTGGGCTGCAATTTGCACTGCTCCTTAAGTCCAGCACAAAGCTTATTCGAGGATTTCGTTATTGGAAATTCCAGGCTACCGCAACTGTTTTTGGACGAGACAGAAGTCTCGAACTTGCGCTAGTAGTAGCAAGAAGACCGGTAGCATTGGTGGTGCTTCGCTCATACGCAGTATTGGAGGTTCGTGAAATTTCCCGTGGTAGTTATGCCAGGATTGACTTTGAAGCTTGAGTTATTGCTAGCCAAAGTGCGGAAGCATAGCACATTAGGATATTTTACCCAATTGGAATATAGAAATGATCTTGTAAGATTCCACCCACATTTTGATTATCCACAAAACCATGGATTCCTTGTCTTTGGAATGTATCCGTATTCCTGATTCCTGATAACTCAAGTATTTGGAAAATTCCAGTTGCACCTGTACATAAGATTACCCATTTTTTTGCATTAGCAATAGTTTTATTTGAGATTTTCACCCTGGAGGATCATCTTTTTCCATAAGTGCCAGTAATCACTTTCAGATTCAGTTTTTTTGAGACAGACATGTAGTATGCATTCGCTGCAGGCTTCTCTTTCTACCATTCAGATCCAAATTCAAAGGATTGAGATATTCTCCTGATGCATCTCTCGGATCACTTTTCACTCCCAATCCAAGAGCTTCGAGAATCCTGGGCCACGGTTCATCTATTGAACCATAGATATCCCAAAAACGTGTTGAGAATTGGCCCATTATCACAGTGAAAACTTGGAATGATGCTTTCCGTCTTCCAAACTTGTTCAACAATGCTAGCGGTACTACAAAGTGTTCAGATCATTTGAAAATTGGGTCAAACCCTTCCTGTGACCAAGTTGCATTTCCATGGTCGCACCAGTTATTGATATTATTTTTGGAGCATGTGTCCAATGTAGAAAGTTTATAGAGCTGAAACACCACACTTGTTTGGATTGTGGATAGGCGGCGACTTGTTAGTTGTTTGCGTACACGTTTGAAAGCTGTCAAGGACTACATTCGTGAAGGAAGAAGATAATTATGTCGACCAGTGGTACAATTCGAAAATTCCAATCATACACAGTACCACTATATAAGACTGTATATATACCTGAGGCGAGTAAACTAGTGTCATTTGAGTGGCCGTCACCAGCTTCGAGAAGGTGTGGGAGTTCCAGTAAGACGAGCTGCTATTGTTAGGCCTCCTGGGCCCTTACCAATAATGCTAGACCGGATAGATTTTTTCGTTGACCCAGAAAATCTTCTTTCACTCACATATAGTCATGGCTTTGAGCTGACTTAGAAGTGATAGCGGTGGAGAGGAGTGTTTGGACGGAAAATATATTAAGCAGCAATCGAATGTTTGTCATTGTATTAAACTTACATGCAGTGTGTGAGTATACAAATTGATCCAACACTAGGGAATTTATACTTGGCGTAGGTCAGATTTAGATGTAGCATTGCAATATGCTACATGACCAAGGAATGCTGGTCTGCAACTTGCTGGCTGAGAGTGTACACCATTTCATGCAGGATATTGACCCAAAACACTCTTCGAGACACTCGTTGTGTCTGTTGTTCGTGATCTGAGAACTACTACAGGCTCAATACGAACTTGATGTAGAACCTATGATCATCATTGAGGTCGTTGGTTACATAAAGATCATATTCCAAAGAAAAAGAAAAAAGAAACCCGGTCTGCGATTTTACCGCCTTCCCTTTGAGCTAGAATAGACACGGCATTAAGTCGACTACTCGTTGACTGAAAAGGTTTAGTGTTCAAATTATTCGAAAGGCTGATCCACAGCCTTGATATGACTCAGGTCTATTGGTCGTACAACATTCAATTTTGACTCACGAAATTCATTGCCCGTCGTCCCGACCCCGCCAAGTTTATATTCCACTGGAGACTCCTCCCAAACATCTTCAGACTTTCCATAATTCAAACACCAAAAAATATGGATTTCCCAAAAGAGGAAGAAGAAGTTCTTAGGAAGTGGAAGGAGATTAAAGCTTTCGAGCGACAACTCGAGTAAGTCAACTTGCATACACAATAATTGAAAACGAGATCAATATGTCCTGACCTCGTTTCGTTCCTTTATAGGCTTTCTGAAGGAAAGCCTCGATATACATTTTACGATGGACCTCCTTTTGCAACTGGTTTGCCTCACTATGGTCACTTACTCGCATCCACCATTAAGGATATTATTCCTCGGTATTGGTCAATGAAAGGATATCACGTCGAGAGACGTTTCGGATGGGATACACATGGCTTGCCAATTGAACACGAGATTGACAAAAAGTTTGGTATTTCTGGAAAAGATGCTGTCATGAAGATGGGTCTCGCAAAATACAACGAGGAGTGTAGAGCTATTGTTATGCGATACTCGTCGGAATGGCGCACAACAATTGACAGGTTAGGCCGTTGGATTGATTTTGATAATGACTATAAGGTAAGCCTTCATAGGAGCTATTGACATCTCTTGGCTGACAAGCTTAGACAATGGACCCAAAATTCATGGAATCAGAATGGTGGGTGTTCAGCCAGATCTTCAAGAAAGGATCTGTCTACCAAGGTTATCGAGTTATGCCATACTCGACAGTTCTCACCACAGCTTTGAGTAATTTCGAGGCAAATCAAAATTACCAAGATGTCACTGATCCAGCGGTTATTGTATCTTTCCCATTGTTGAAGGACCCTTCCACATGCCTCCTGGCATGGACAACTACTCCTTGGACACTTCCTTCGCACACTGGTTTAGCAGCACATCCAGATTTCGAGTACGTGAAAATTCACGACGAAGCATCGGGAAAGAACTATATTCTGTTAGAAAAATTACTCGGTACACTTTACAAGGATCCGAAGAAGGCCAAGTTCAAGATTGTGGAAAAGATCAAGGGTAGTGACATGCTTGGTTGGCAATATGAGCCGCTTTTCGACTATTTCTATGAAGAATTTAAGGACTATGGTTTCAGAGTCTTCAACGCTGCATACGTCACCGACGATAGTGGTGTTGGTATTGTTCATCAAGCGCCAGCTTTCGGAGAGGAAGATTACAATGTTGCAATGGAAAACGGCGTCATCGACGAAAAGCGACCAGCCCCATGTCCAATCAACGAGACCGGCCACTTCACTGAACAAGTTCGAGATTTTGCAGGTCAACATGTCAAGGCAGCCGACAAAGCTATCATTAAATACTTGAAGGGCACTGGAAGGCTAGTTGTTGAATCAACCATCAAACATAGTTATCCTATGTGTCCACGATCGGACACCCCCTTGATCTACAGAGTTGTTCCTTCTTGGTTCATTAGAATTCCTGAAATTGTTCCTGCTATGTTGAAGAATATCGAAGGATCCCACTGGACTCCCTCGTTTGTCAAGGAAAAGCGATTCGCCAGTTGGATCGAAAATGCCCGTGACTGGAACGTTTCGAGAAACAGGTATTGGGGTACTCCAATCCCTATCTGGGTCAGTGATGATTACGAGGAGAAGGTATGTATTAGTAGTATCGCCGAGTTGAAGGAACTCAGTGGCTACGAAGGCGAGATAACCGACCTCCATCGTGACAAGATCGACCACATCACCATTCCTAGTAAGATGGGCAAGGGCCAGCTGAAACGAATTGAGGAGGTCTTTGATTGTTGGTTCGAGTCTGGCAGTATGCCATATTCCAGCCAACATTATCCTTTCGAGAACAAGGGCAAGTTTGAGCAATCTCTTCATCGGGTGATTTCATTGCTGAAGGTCTTGATCAAACCAGAGGAT